GGTAGCTGTTTTCTAATTTTCTACCTTAACACTATCAGATCCAGAAAAAAATTCAAATTATAACTGTGACATTGTTATGACGTATGCCACTGTCGATGATCACGTAACAGTATCGCCAATCAAAACAATCACTTATATGACCTGGTCTCTGTGCTAAATCAATGATGAGTTAATCAGCACGAGCAATCCTGTAATCTGGTGTACACTAGTTATCAAATGGTACTAGATATTTGATTGATACCATTCTTTTCTTTAAAACAAGTCTTTATATGGTTGTTTTTCAGGTCATGTCGAAATATCATTATAGGTCAAACAATTAACATTTATTATGCCAGAAAAGGTAGTGTATACGATCCACAAAATCGTATTATTTCAGTGCACAAAATTTATAAACGTGGAACTGTTGGATATAAAGTAAGACTATTATTATTAGTTATACATTACTTTCTTCTATATGGAACAGTGATTTGTAATATTTTTTATATTTGTGGCGCCTATTTTAAATAACTCTACAGATAAACAAGCACAATAGAATAAAAACCCTAGTGCAATATTGCTTGGATTCTTGGCACCATACGTTTCAGCCATCAAACTTAAAATGATTTTGATAGAGGAATTCATTGGGAATTAGATAAATTTGTCGGTAGTATATGTCCCAAATTGACAATAGTCCACTTCCATTGGTGATAACTGACTTATATCCGACAGAGGTTTGCGCTACCACTCATGACTTCTTGACAGTATTTCTGGAACTCATCTCCAAATAAGTCATTAGTGACCGTATTACCAGCTTTAAAGGGGTTGTAAGTCCGCACGGATGAGAAATCTAATGGCTTTCCAGTACTCTTGTTTCTCAGCAGTAACCCAGTTCAGGCGAATCCGTAACAAATACCATTTTAACAGTTACATTTAATCATCCACTTATAATACAATGTAACAAACCACAAAATAGTACCAAGAAATACTCCAAACAAAACAAAATCCCCCATATAATGCTGAAAAACGGGTGAATTCGTGTTTAAAGCAAAGATAAGTGATAAACTAACGTAGAAACACTTCAATTAAAGTTGGAACACTGGCTAACAGTGAAACACGGGACGCGCATTTCGTAATATTTGGGAGTAGTCGGGTGTACTTACCTGAATCCCAGCGTTTGATATCTATACGGTAACTCGTATGCAGTATCTTTCGCTTCAAACGCTTATCGCACCATCGTTTGAGTCCACATAGCCACTTCCTTATACAATGAGCATGAATTTCGCTTACGCTTATATTTTTCCACTATCGATGTCATGACATGCAATTAATCAGTCTCTTTCAGTATATACACATCCTGTGCTGTTACAAGTTCTTTTAATTAAAGTCACAGTTTTATTTATTTATTTGAACACACAAATACTGTTACAAGCGGGCATCAAATACATATGCGCCACACAAATCTCATTTGATTTGCGTGAGGGCTGTGATACTGCTTGGATGCCCAAACCGAAGCAGGTGGTTTCCTTAGAGGACCGCACCCAGAGCCTTCGACCTAAAGGTCTGATCCACAAAGCAGTGTAGCATCGTAAGGATGCAGTCCGATGGTAACCGGTGACTAACGATTGGTTCATATGCCATTTTTCCCTCAGAATCCTGGAAGCCATATGCAACCAATGGTTCGGAATCATGGTTTTCCAACTCCATTAGATCGATCCTCCATACCCACCAACCCGGTTAAAATGCGGGACATTTGCTTTTCGTCCTCTCAATTTCGTAAACAACACCCCCGCCACGAGAAGGCAGTGATTGTGTACGCGTGACCATATGAGAGCATTTTGAGAGGGAGAGCGGACTCTCCCCACTCTCGGCCGTGCCAGGGCAACTACTGTTAGTCACAGTAGTGACTACATGACTCTCGTTCCCTCCTATTTGGGACTCGTCAACTGGAAACATTCCATAGACTTAAAGGGTATAACTATTTATGAACTCAGACAAAAACTCATTAATGAATATGTTATAAATTCTACCTTTACAATGGACATCTTATGTTCAATAAGCATTGAAAATGCATTTCCATAAACAATAACACTAATTCCTTGAAATTCGACAAAACCCTATCTTAAAACATGATGACATAACTGTCAAAAATTGATTTGTTATTCTCAATTAGATCTTAAATGAATTATCTCTGGGCTGAGAAGTTATACTTGAATATGTTGGTTTCATTCCTCAATATACATTTAATTGGTTAGCTAATGTTTCTATATTCTAATAATTATTCAGCCGTAAAGCAAAACAGCTGCGAAACGTGGCCATTAACAGTTGAAGATACTCGTAAGCTACTAGTATTTGACCACAAATGCCTTAGAAATATTGGTCGCATCTGCTGGGACAGTAAGGTTAGACGCAGGTTATTAGAGAATGACGCTAAATCAGTTGATGAGGTTGTGAATCTACATCGACTCAGATGGTTGGGCCACGTGTTATCCATGCTTGAACACCGATTACCACGACACACAATCCTGACTAGTTGGAGATGATTAGAAGAAAGCTAGGGGTGATCAAACCAAAATGTGGCCTCAGTGCTTGAAGTCACTAATTTCTAGTCTTAGCCGTGTTAGTAGATGCAGACTACTTGGTTGGGGTCCGCGTGACTATCGTAGCCAATGGTCGGAGACTCTTGGTGACCTGGATGAGAATCGATCACAATGGTGTAGGTGTATACACTTTTTGTCTTATTTTAAACTATGAGATTAAAATCGCTTCGTATCTTTCTACGTAGTAATTCCTTCTTCTTGTATCATATCCTTATATGCAATCCTTATTTTATATATTACCACCATTAAATTAACTACTTCTGTGAATCCGTTGTTCATCTTGATGTGCTAATGCGGTATGACAACTTGTATCGATGCACATATGTGCCTGATCCTACGTTGTAGCTGACTGATAACTATTCAGTCAATCATAATTTAAAGCATTAATAGTATGAATAAATTAGCGATTCAGTCACTTTGATCATCATTTGAGTCAGTGTAAAATAGAATATGGTATGAAATCATTCCGCTAACCATATCATTAACACCTTTCAATGTCAGTGTTTTTAGTTCGAATTCTTCATAACCCTACAATAGAACCAAAGCTTAATAAATCACTGCAAAACTAACTTGGTTCTAGCTAAAGAATTAATATTTATCAAAGTAAACTATGCTGGTCGGCGGCCTATGCTCCATTAAGAGTAACAGGTGTAAGTAAAAGTAAACAATAAAATATTTTTTTACTTATGGAATTCTTATATGACATATCTAATTTTCAGTTATTAAACTGTATCTTTATTTTAGTGTCAAGGTTATGCATGTATAGACAACAGTCAATTGAATACTGAACAGAAATTCTTTATTACTACAAATGTCCTATTTCATGATTTAACCTTATAATGAATATATCCGATCAAAGAAAATGTCAACAATTTTATATGACTGTCATTATTAGTATCAGTACTATAGTAAAATTTTGATTAAATATCTTTTATTTATTGCAAGAAGGTATGTATGTCTTACACAAAAGTGTAAAACTTTTCTATACATCTGAATAGAATGAATTTATCAGTTATCATTAAAACAATTGTTCTAACAATCTTTGTCATAATAATAAGATATATTTCGGCTGCCGTTTGTTTCATACTAATATCTACTTTCTCTCCATTCATTATTGACCACTTTCAAAAAAAATGATTTTGGCACTAGTGAAGAGTAATACTATGTATTGATAGGCGATTATACTGAAATAGTGATAACGCATAGTCATTTATCGGTGTATAGGGTTGTGGAGATTGTTGAGTTTAGATTGATATAATGAATGGATCAATGTTAGACCACCACTGAAAACCTGGAAACACCGGACGGCCGTTTCGTCTAGAGATTAAGCATTCGCGCACGAGACCGAAGGTCCTGGATTCGAGCCCTGCGTTGCGGGATGGTGGATGCGTGCTGATGAGGAGTCCCATACTAAGACGGCCGTCCAGTGCTTCCAGGTTTTCAATGGTCTAACATTGATCCCTTCATCAATTTAAACAGTGATTTAATTTGTAAATGATTTTAATAAGTGAATATGTGATAATATACTCTTTTATTATCATCTTAACTTACTACATGTTCACTAAACCTCTTCATTGTATACACTGAAACAATTGATAAACTACGTGATACTGTAAACCATATCAATCAGAATTTCAGGAACACTGAGTAAGTACCCCGGTACTAATTTGTATGATTCGAACTTACATACATTAAGTACAAAACTACAATACTAATAGTATGAAACTGACTGACTGATTTCTGACTAATTTACTATGATTTAAAGATATACATAATTCTGGGACCATCGAGTAAGTAGTGAAGTTGTTAGAAAACATGTACTAGTTAAGCATGGTAAATTAATTGATGAAGTAGCAAAACGTCATCAGTTGAGATGGCTGGGACACGTGTTACGTATGCTTAACCACCGACTGCCTTGACGTGCGATGTTCAATGGTATAGGAGTACATCGGAAGAAAGCTAGGGAATGCCAGACCAAAACATGGCACAAGTCCAGGAAGTCACTGACAAGTGAACTGAGTCATGTTGGTAGGTGTAGACTACCTGGTTGGGGACCGCGAGATGATAGCAACCGATGGTTAGAGACCCTGAATGACATGGCTCAAAATTGTTTGCAATGGCGCAGGTGCATACACTCTTTGTGTTCTCCCAAATCCTAATCTGAATCCTCCTTGTCTCTTATTTTCTCTTTCCAAATTTATTTCACTGGATTATATTCTTTAAATAACATCTTTCCGACTACTGCTTATACTCTTAGCGCATCTACCTCTACGGGATTTGAATCGACACCTGTATCTCTGTGCTAATGTGGTGTAGCAACTCGAACTGATGTACGTACGTACGCACGAAGTTCTACGTTGTTACTGACTGACTGACTGGTATATATATAAGTGAACGATATTGTTTTCAATTAGGTTCTCATCAGGCTAATATACAGTAATGTATTGATATGCATAAACGAAATTATTAAATTAATTAAGTCAGTTTATGATACAGTGATAATGGTGGAATACATTACATGACTGAAACATAATAAGTAAAGAGTACAAATTGATCATGTAGTGAAAGGTGTAATAGTTGTGATAAGAATAATAAAGGTTTGAATTAATGTTTCATAATAGGATATAGGTGAATAACACTCATAAAAAGTTACAAGATTACATAATAAGAAGTGTTCAAATAATTGAACAATGAAGTGTATATTTAAGAAAGGAAAAAAAGGGGGGAATGAAGAACAATAAACGAACTGAATATTAGAAAATAATAATCAGTAAAATCTTTTACTGAATTTATTTCTACCAAGGAAGAGATAAAAGTGTTACACGTTATTATAAGCATATATACCGAGATCTCAGAGAATAACTTTCAAATTTTGACATTTTCACTGATACTCCCTGACTCAACAAAATTAATGGATTAGAAACCTACAATAGACTACAATGAACTTCAAACTGTTGTATTCGTGATGTGTGATCGAGAATGATTGGTTGTCTGTCTAGTCAGAGATAAAGATAGTCTGACAAATGTCAGATGAGTTATATGTTCCCCTATCCTTATTATTATTATCACTTATTATTGATTGTTGATTAATGTTAGATTGCGTACGGTTTTTTGCTGTGGAAATATATTTACGTTGTAGTCAGGCTAATCACGTGTTCTTGATCTGAGTTGTGTTCAAGTCCTGTAGAATAGACACTGGGAGGGAATCTAATGTAGATATTCGTCTAAGTTAAATTAACGTCCCATACATGTAAACATGGAAAAATGAACCGTTATAACATTAGACGAAGTAAAACCGAGCGTTATAACAATTTGGTCTTAAGATAAAAAATGACCAGATGGGTAGTGAAGGTTTGAAGTGAAAATTCTTTTTGAAAAATGGTATTCCTTTTTAATCTCAATAATAACGAACTTACAAAGAAAGTATGAATAAACTAACTATTATATTAAGATACTTCTTATGCTTACTAGGATCAGATTATTAGTATAACAATATCTTGTTAATTAAACCAATCAACTTACGATGATTGGGTCGAAATTCTTCTCCACCTACTTTGTTTCCAGTGATCGTAAAGTATCAGTCAGTCCATCGTAATCAACGTAGAATGTGGTACAGATTTGTATAGGTTATCGTTATTACATCTCACACTAGTACAAAGCAATGAAATTAACAGGGTATCAAAGAAGTCGAAGTAGTGGCAGTATCAGTTATAGCAAGACTAAATATATATAGAATTTATTTCGAAAAGAAGGGATGAAATAAAAGAATACAAATTATGAACTTGCTTTAAAACTCAAAATTTATGGGGAGATAAAGTCAATTCAACTAAACTACGGTAAATAACTCTAAGCCATGTCAACAAATGTTTCCAACTGCTGACACCAGTTATCTGAAGGATTTCAAACAAAACGTTTCTATCAACTAAAATACCTCAGAGTAACAGATAATTATTTGATAAACTGACGGGACATTTTGGTTTGTCCGCACCCAGCTTTTATTCAAAATGATCCCAAAATGGTCAGCATTGCACTTTGGGGTAGACAGAAGACGAGCAAATATAATGTATGTCATAGCCATCTTAACCAATGAGGTTGCACAGATTCGCCAATCGATATATCATCATTGCTGCCTAGTAAATATGTATCTAACCTCAATGATGCTTATTTGATTGTTTCGAAAAACGCGGATAAAGCTTTGAATGAATCTGTGATGAAAATGATCAAACAACTGATACGAAGATGATTTCTTTAATAATATATGAAGTATAATTATTCACTGAACAAATAAATTTTATAAAACATACAATAAAGCATATCGTTTCATTCATTTACATGTGTTCGTTTCCTAATACGAGAGAGTAATTCATCTTGATCACGTTTTATACGATCAATCACTTTGAATAAAAGGTTTTCACTAGCCTGTAAAGCTGCTTTAATTTGTTTACAATTGTTGTTGCTCTCCGTATCCTTTTCCTCCTTTTCTTGTTCATTATTATTATTATTATTATTATTATTATTATTATTATTATTATTATTATTATTACTATTATTATTTTCTATAGTCTTCTCCTTATGGTCTGTATTTTGCAATGCTACTAACTGACTTTTCATTAATTCAACGCATATTTCCAAATCAAATTTAGCTTCATCCATTTTACCTTGATTAAAATAAGATTGAGCACGACGAAATAATACTTTATGTATATCATGATAAGATATTTCAAAATTATTCCAATAGAATTGAAGTTTTTCTTGTGAAAATAATGATGTATTAATGATATCTTGATGATAATAATCATTAGTTGATGAATATATAGAAGAATCTATTTGACATGAAAGAAGATATAAAGCATGTGAACAATTTCGAGCACAATATTCATTAGATCCAACTTTCAATTGACATAAAGCAACATTTGAAAGGAGGCTGCGAAAAAATACAAACATGAAAAGACAATTAAATATATTAAATTCATTAAATTCTATTTAACGTAAGGAATGAGAGAAACTTCTCATTTTTCATGATTAGAATGTAACGATGTACGTTGCGAATGATTTTTTAAAACTAAATTCGATTTCTGCTATTCATTGAAACATTCAATCCTTTTTATAAACCAATATTATCTAACTAAAACTTGTCATTAGTTATAATTATTTTTGTTTGGGAATTATTAAATCGATAATCATCATAGGCTATAAAACAGTCTTCAGTGTAGAGAATGACTGAGAGTAACTAGGTTCAACTTACCATGATACATCAGCATGACGTGATGAAATTAATGAAATGAATAGCGAAGTTGAAATAATAATGGTGTCAGTGATCATAAGAAAGAAGAAACGTCCAGAACATATAAAAGAAATGAAACAATACATGAAGAATTACTGAGAATTAAGATTTAGAGGAAGATAAAAAATTGAATGAATCTACGTCATTGCAAATAATTTCGAGCCATAACATTCAGTTTTCAACCATTGATTCTGGCCATTAGGTGGATCATATCCAGGTAGTCTACGTTTATCAATACGACTTCATTCAACGGTTCATGATTTGATAGACTAATGACATTACGTGGTTTGTTTACCTCTAGTTTTCTTCTACCTTACTCTTATGTCAATCGATTAGCGTTTTGTGAGCCCATGACTTATAAAATGGACGTATTATAGAAATAAACACTAAAGGTGGGTTTTTTTTAAAAAGGATAACTGTGCTAGGTATAGTGAAATAAGGCAAGTGATTATAATAAGGAATTAATTCTTGAATGTGATTAACCTACCAAATAAGGGTTGCTCAGATTGCAACAACAACAAGAATAGTCGAAATGTGTTATTTTGGTCTAAAGGTGTTGTACACTATTACAGAAATGGAACAGATGATAGTTTACGTTGATCAGATACCATGTTATGGTTTAGCAGTTTAAACATCTAAATTTTAATCGTTATAAAAGAGGATCAATTGACTCTTCTCTCACGTAACAAATACATCTCAAAGTCTAATGCAAAAATACGTACTTATTTATATTCGACTATGAATATGATGTACTGGAATAGAATGAATATCACTTTACTAAGGATAAGGAAATGCTGTAGTAAGATGGTTTAAACTATTTGTAAAACATAAATGAGTAGTGAGCCACTTATTATCAAAATTAAAAATTTTCCAACTCAGTCATTATGTTAATTTTAAAATTTCAGTTCAAATTTGAGTTGGTTTCCCTTTTAGAAGAGAATAAACTTTGTTGCTATACTAGTGTACAACAGACTACATACTTCTTTTCAAATGAAAGCTGAGAAGTCAATTAGAAAAGCAACAAACTATTTCTTATACAATAGTGGTATGTGAATTAAGAAAATAAACCGATGATAATTGTCATGTTTCTTCAACACTTATTGAGTCTTTATTATTATGATAAATGTGATTTGAAAATTGAGAATTCACATTTGTGAATATTGAATGATAGTGTTCAATGTTAATCTAAATTAAACAAAATAATACATTTGTCATATAAATGTTTCACAATAACTTAATGAAATGAAACATTAGCCAAACATTCGATCACAATTTTATTTATGCAAAACATCAACTGAATAACTTACAAATGGTTAATGAGTAATAGCATAATCTAAACAACCGATGATCTCTGTCCCAAATAACAGAGGTAACTACTAGGCATTTAGATCACTTTTACATGATTAACAATGCTCAGACATCGAAGTTGGTGATATCTAGCTATTTACATGTTTCATTAGTTAATTCATTGGTTTCTAATACTGAGTAAAGTGAACAGAATTACGGACCTGTGTCTTACTGACTTCTGATGAAAGAAATATTAGGCAGTGAAGATTATATTTGATGTTGAACAAGACGATCCCGAGTGCTGTTAAAGGTGATTGTCATACTCCGGTTGCCCATACCGTGGACGGATACTCTTTATTGAAAGGATATGAAAAAGTAAACCGGGTTAAGTCGATTCAAACGACTTGAGAGAGTGACCGTAGTGCTCAAGGGAAAACTGCTTGAGGCTGGTTACGCGCCGCCTCTCCATTAGATGTTTTACATGTTAGCTATATACTTATAGGGCCTTAGCGCGGAGGATGCAAATCAATGGTTTAAGGTGAGGTGCGAAATTTCTATAGACCGACTTTTTATAACCTCTTTCTTCCGATGTGGAAAGACAGTGTCGCCTCAGATGTTGGTTGTTTAGAGGAAACATCTTACTGTCGTCACACCCCTGTACAGTCGGAAGTGTGACTTTGCCATCAAACCATGAAGGCTTCTGATACTAAGCTTTGATTATGATGAAGCTGCAGTTAAGTTTTTAAAACACTAGGTTTTTAACCAGTAAAATCACAAGATTGAACAGCGTTATACTTACTCATTTTTAGACAATCGGTTAGTATAACAGGCCTACATAGGGTGAGAGTTAAATTCTAGTAAGTACACCTATACTTCGTAAATGAATTACATAGACTATTAGTTAACTTACGTGTTGAGTATGTGAAATTGATCAGCAGCTTATGAATTTAATAAAGTGTCAAAAACTGACTCTAAAAAGCATTATTTCACAAGTTACTTGAACTGTATACCTCACAAAAAAAGTTCAGTCGAACGAAAATCAATTCCAAAAACTTACATAAACATCAAGCGTAAAGGTTTACATTGTAATGGAAACATAGTTTTGTGATCAATATCCCCAAAACGATCCCAATCTTTGTAGTCTGAACTGTTCAATTTTTCACCGTTATTACAAGTTATAGATTTTTCACCTGATACCACTTGAATCCAGTGTATATTATTATTTGTGCTAGTTTTATTTTTTGTACAATCATATCCATTTTCGTCAGTTCCCATTGGTAAAACATCATTTACACATGTTTTTTCAGCCCAATAAGCTAATGAAACAAGCTGCAAAGCTCTGGAATAACATGCAAAAGCTGATGACCAAATGTATCTGAATAATTCCTCTTTGTTATTATGACTATTTGAATTGTTCAAGTGTGATGTTACACATTTCAAATGATGATTTACTAACCAAGAACCTCTTTCTTTTAAATACCAAGCTCGATATAACCATTGAATTGTTAAATCAGGATTCCAATCAACTGTAGTATTTTCTCTTAAATCTGATTCTAATATTTTAGCATTAACATTCATAGTAGGATCGCCACAAATCGGTGGAACAAGTACATAGTCAACGCGTAATGATAGATGATATTCCTAAATGAATAAAATATATGAAAACACTCTAAAAAGTTATCTAATGTCTAACAACAATAAGAAATAGTTATTAAACGATCATATGAAATAGTTCTGCAATTTACCATTCAACTTCTTTTTACTCCGAATAAAACATAATGGTTACTAACATGTAAGCAGTAAACCGAAATACAAACTATATATTTATCTTTCAAATATACAAAAATGGAGACTATAAAAACTATATTTTACTAAATTCCCATTTATGGCAATACATGTTTTATCTTCGTTCCTGTGGTTTAAAATATCTTTAAAGGTACATGTTAACCATTGCCTTAACACGTTACGATTACTAATAATAGGTGTTGTTGTTGGTTCTACTATTATTTAGTAAACGTTAATACTTTTATTTAAGGTGTGTGAAACTATATATCACTCCAAATACAATGTTGTGGAGATGCTGAACTATTTTAATTGCATCTTAGTTACTCGCGATAGACCTGTCTGCTCAAAAAATAGCCAATCCTAACCATTAATGATTTTGACATACATAATGTAGCCCACTGGATTTTTTACTGAGAAAAGAACAGTGGACACTACCTTTCACATGGATGTTCTTAAGATTCTGATTAATTATGTACACTTTACACAACCGGATTTGTGACTTTATTGTATAGCACATCCATTGAGATATTATGCATATACACTCACTAGCGATTGTTCGCGAGTTTCTGGCCTATATTTTGATCAATACACTTGATTATTTTTACCAGAACCAGTCATATTCAATTTCTTTTCATTCCCCAAATACAGTATATCATGAGAGGGCTGCAATGGAACAATGTAACGACTTTAAAATGAGACTATAAAACAATTGGTGAGTTAATATTTCACAACTGACCCGGTTGAATCCACTGGTCACTGCTTCTCACTAGAACTCCAGGATATACCTCTTGGAGTTAGACATTAACACCGCTTGATGCCGGCTCAGCGTTCTAGTGGTCAAGCGCTCGCGCGCGAGACTGATAGGTCCTGGGTTCGGATCCCTCGATGTGGGGTCATGATTGAACACTGCTGAGGAGTCCCACAGTAGGACGAAACGGCCGTCCAGTGCTTCCAGGTTTTCCATGGTGGTTTAGCTTAAATTGACTCATGACGTCAACTATTGAAATTACTACAGTCTCCACCAAAATCCCTTCAGAAGAATAATTCTTTAAAACATCATGCGTTAATGACATCGAGATATGATTGCATATCCATTAATAAACATTATCTGTAAACCTAAGGTACTTATCATTTTACCATAAGTTTTGTACATAAAGATTTGATTTTATTGAGTACAAAAGTAACTAAATTTTATGGTTAACTGTGTTGTCACATGATATCAGCTTATTTGTGAGAAAAAGCCTTGGGTTAATATAAGTGGGTTTTGTGAGCAGCTGCTGTTTGATCAGTTTCAACTGATTCAAACAATCTATTTTACAATGAAAAAAAACAAACAAAATATTTCATACAATCATTATCCCTTTTTAAGTGGACTAAATAGCCATCAAAAAATAGTAAACTCCTTTCTTTTTCAAGAACATAGGAAAATCATACTTTTCGATGACCAAGGAACATTCACTGAGATATGGATATTAACAAAGTTTCTCATCCTAACCGTTTTAAAACCCATTTAAAATCCCTATCTTTAATCCTTTACAATATCGACATAAGGACATTCCTGTCACTGAACAAATTTGATCTAATCGCCTAGTTGGAGAGGCTTCTAGACATTTGAAGCAACTGAGTTTTGAAAAGATATAACGTCCCCAACTTAAATAGCATATCGTTAGGATAGGTTTGTCTTAAAATTATAGTTACTATTCAGCCTCAGGAATTCAACCTGCAGGTGGTTACGTTACTCAAGGAAAACACGAAAAATTTTGAGAAAAAAGTATGGTAACTTCTAAGTAGATCTTTTACGCTGTAATTACACAGAACTGTTAGTTCATTTTCCCATCACAAACAAGCGATCACCTTCAAAATCAGATTCCAGGAAGTGATAGTGACATCTTGTTAAATGTTTTTCGTCCCCATCTTTTTACTATAAAGTGCTGCCACTAATCTTATCTCTCCAACGGTATTTTTTATCTCCTTTGCATTAAACGAGGTGCTTTGAAGATTCAAAAACCTGGTAATGAGGACTGACATGGACATGCAAAGCATTGAATAATATAAAGTGGACCAAACTGGAACTGGTATAACCTCTTCTGCCATGGTCTTAATGGTTCATAATTTTCTTTCTTCATATTTTTCTTCCTTCACAGCCATCAGATATCCCTTCTATCTTCTCTATAGACCTTTTACTTCCAACAGGTTTACTTCTGTTTCTATGATCTTCCTGATTATATTTCATCTCGATTTCAAGATTATATATTGTAACGTTGAGCCATCCTTTCTCAATTAAAATTTCCCTGCTCGAGCACTTAGCAATAAAACTATTATTAGTTTCCCTGAAGAAAAGTTTTAATACCTTTGTTTATTCTACTTCACTGTTACCATATTTAACAGAATTTTATTACCACTATTGTTTTATTATCATCCTGAATAACATGTACATATATTTGCTATTGTATAGCTTTGAAAATAAATTCCCCGAAAAGAGAACTCTTCACTGAGCCAATTTTCCTTAGCTTAAAATTTGTTTTATTTACTCCGACTAAAGATGCTAACGATAGGGATAATTACATGATAAAGTTTAACTAGAGGTTAATAAATGATTGTCTGCACTATAACTACATACGCACATTGAGCACACAATAATATATAACCCTCAAGAAATACGGAAAGTGAGGAAACTTACTCACGTAGCGGAATTATTTACCAATGTATCAACATCCTATCTGTGACCAAATATATTTAGCCATTTACAAATTAGTCAGTATATTATATTCAGTTGATGCTTGTTTCACACTGCTTTACGACCGAGATATATGACCACCAAAAGCGGAAGATAGAGGTGCTTGATCATGGGTCAAGTGATTCAAGTCGGTTCTTTATGCAAAAATGTTTCCAACCCATTTATCGTGATTACATAGATTCAAAGTTTAACCTGTCTGGACAAGACACTAGTTGAATAATCCAAAATGAACACTGATTAAACACCCAAGCGTTGTCAAACAAAATTAGTGTTGATGAGGGGTATTTCTGGACTCCACAAAACAAAATGAATATCGTTAATATGATCCAGATATCAATTCATTATACGGCTAATAAAATTTCGGGAAAGCCAACAAACTGTTGGTAATTCAGAATTGGTAAATATGCTTGGTTTACGTCTGATAAGGATGTATTGAAACTACGCAAGTCACAAACTGAGTAAGAAAACTGTCTACTTTATTTGCAAATAATGCACACTTTAAAAGTATTAAATTTTTTTCTTATAATAGGTAAGAAAACATGAGGATATACACAAAAATAAAAACAGAATATAGATTTGGCTCACTGTAGGATCTTTGTGTTTTTCGTCTCTCTCAACAGATTCTATATCTACATTGAACACGTCCCCGGCTGTACAATTAAAGAGGATATTCTCTACCACACTTCTTAAAGAAAGCTGTTTCGAATTTGGCTGGTTTTTAAATTGTGTAGTGTCGGGAGAATTACCCAGAAGAATGCGGAAGCGCGAATTGCTTTTCAGAACAATGGGCTCGCACTGTATATTAAAAAGCGAATGAAGTGGGCAGCATTCTAAATCAAGACCAGATTCGTGACCATGGTTAAAGTCTATTACTGTACAGAAACATAGAGATCCATCTGTAGCTTTGTAGCAAGAGGTCCCATTATCTGATGTACTATGTTCGAGCTTTTTGATGCGATACATAACGCACTGAGTAGCCATTGCCTAAACAGAACAAACTTAGTAAACATTTTAGCTGATTTCGTCAAAAAAGAACACGTTTAGGAACTACGCATTATATTCCATAAAAAATATCGGGATGTACAAAACCAGTAACATATATTACAAATATAGTATCGATAAACTACCAAGTTGTGCTGTTTACACCGTGAGCACAATCATAAGTGAGTATCCAGGATACCATAAAGCATGCAAAAGCTGTCATTAAACCTTCTTTTACGATTTCCCCATATCCACCATATTCATCCTCATCAACACGTTGATAAATTGCAGCGTATGCATAGACAAAGCATATGTTTGTTACAAAGAACATGAGGATTGCTACAAAACCCGTAAACGAGGCTACACCCCAGACAACACCGACTATAATGGCAAAAACTTGCCTAAACCAATACACAACATCCAAAAAGTCATTTTTGTCGTCAAATACAGATTCCATCTTCAGCGCCTTGAGAAATATACCATAGTTACTCACAAACTGAGTTTTCGTATTTGCCTATTTTTCATAATTAGCAACTCCATACCAAATGAACATTGCTCACCTTTGAGACCATTTTTTCAATACTCAATATCTTTGTCACGAGCTTGTATAAACTGATAAGTTTCTTGGGGCTTGCTTCTTGTTGTTTTGGTACGGTTTCAGGTATTTGGTTATGTCTGATGGGTGGTAGTTCAATCACTCGACTTTACTAATTCCAGTCGGTTTGGACTTGTGTATCTTGTAGTTGGGTAAGTGCGTTTATTTCAAGGCAGTAGGGATTCTGGATACCAGCAGCTATCACAAAACCAGGTAGGAGGTTAGTTAGTTGCAATGTGAAAATAATTAAGTGATAATTCGAGTGATAAGAGATTACTATTTCAAGAATAAATAATTAGTCTACTTAAATGACAATGTGTAAGAAGACGTAGTTGAAAGAATAAAATGGAAACGGAAATGATAATAAGAGGGATAAGTAGTTACTTGTTATGCGATAATGATAATTGTGTCAATTTATGAGACATGCATCGGACATAGCCGGTCCAAGAGGAGGATACTAAATCTTTGTCAAGCCTTCTCTTAAAGCTATTCACTGTAAGGGTTGTAGTAACTATAGTTGTCAGAGCATTCTATGGGGCAACCCGTAATGTAAATGGTGAGAGTATCTGGGTGTTCGTCTTTCAATGTGCAATCATTCGAGGGTTGCCTCAAGGACCACGGTGATGATATTCTAGCAATATGGTGCTCGTGTTGGGGTGACTTGAAGAACTTAAAATGTTGTGTGCCATCGTTAGATTAACTCTCCTGTAGCTCAGAGAGAACAATTCCAGGTGCTGAAGTCTGTCCTCGTAAGATTTATGTCTCAGTCCTATCACCTAATTAGTTGCCCATCTCTGTACTTGGTCATACCCCGACAGCATTGTGGACTTAAAAGTGGGACCGTGAGTACCTTTAGAACAATGTTAGGGGAAACTTTGGGGTGAACACGCCAAGTGGTCTCCGCATAAAGTGGAGAGTTATGTTTGCCTAAACTGCATTCCCTATGTACTTTGAACTAGTGTCTAAGTTCTCTATGGTTGTAAACCCAAGATCACTCTCTGAGTAGAAAATCAGGAGAAAATCTGCATGAAGTGTGTGAGTGTTTTATGTCAAACGAGGCAGAATGTTCATGGTATGACATTCCGATAAATTAAGTTTTAATCTGTTGTCTAATCCTTACTCTACTATAGTTGTAAGGTTTTTTTGAAGCTCGAGTTAAGTCTTTTTTTATGGACCTCCAGAGTTTTGTGTCCTCTCCCGAACTAATTTTATCTAACAAATAGTTAATAAAGATCAAGAACAGAAGTGGACCTAAGATTGTTCCTTGTGAAACTATCGATATTAAGACCTTCCAACTCATGTGCACTCTTACCTTGGTACGAGACATTCTGTTCTCTAGGTTATTTCGCAGCTAGAACCGTTGCTGCTACTTTAACGTGGTGGTCGATTACCTATAGTGATGAACCCATCGAGATATACTGTCTCGAACAACCGTTCCTCAAGGTCCTACCATGTCAGACAGATCGGTTGAAGAGTGGTTAGATTAAAAGCGGGAAACTCAAGGTCCGAGGGCGAAGTCATACTGCTGACTGTACAGAGGTGTGACGACAATAAGGTGTTTCCTTCAGACAACCAGCATAACAGAGGGGTGGGGTTAGAAAAAGTTGACCCTAAAAATGCACACCTCGCCTTATCCCACGGATATCCGTTTCCTGTGGTTAGGTCTCAACAAGTGAGGAGCTAACACGAAAATTACTCACAAAAAGGTCGTGTGTGACCGATCTCAAGCAGTCGTCCCTTTGGCACTGCGGTCACGCTCTCAGGTCACTAAGACCACCTTTAACCCAAATTCCTTTTCAGGTACGTCTATAAAAACCCTTCCATGGTATGGGCAACTGGGAAGTAAAAACCACCGGCATACCTCTAACAGCACTCAAGATCACTGTATTCATAATCAATCTTCTTCAATTCCTATTATTCCTCCTGCCTCGATTTTCAACTCTAAACTTTCTCTTTTGACTTCCTCCTTAAGTGTCACTATAACCAACGATTTTAGTGCGCGAAACGCACTACTGAAAAATCGCTCAAAACTACATACTGGAGTCTTCAACGTATGCACCCAATGTCAAAACGGCTAGGACCCTAGAATCTTGTACCATTGGTGTATGCTGTGTCTCCAAAACACACACAAGATCCTAGTGTAGTTATTCCCTTGACCTCACCGTGCCAAAACGGGGAGCCGACGAGATACACCCTCTGTGTATCTGGAGATCCGTAACTGGTTCTCGTGAACTGGCGGCCGTAGGCGTAGCACTAAGCACGAGGGCAGAACAAGAACTATTAGAATGAATCACCGTCAACAGTTGCCTATGTGCTGTTCGGTTAAACAGCTCCGTAAGAACTCGAAGAGATAGAGACACTCGTCGTTGCTTTTTCGACGTTCATAAATAAGCTCTCAGTGACTGAAGCCCGGACGAAGCGAAAGATCAATTTTACAGAATGCCTTCTGAATCTGTTCAGAAAGCCAAACGCTCAGATGTAGTACTCGTAGCAGGTGACTTTAATGCCCAGGTAGTTGGCTTGAACCAAGCAGAAAGACATTTAGGTAAACAGATAATGGTGATCGTCTGCTGCAACTGTGCTCAGACAATCGTTTATTTTTAGCAAAGAATAATGTTAAGCAGAAGGATGAACATTGTCTAACATGGCGACCTCCTGCAGCAAACCAACGATGGACTCAAATAGACCAAATTACCATCAGTCATCGTTGGAGTGGCTCTATAGAAGACTTCCACTCGTTCTGGAGTACGTGTTTAGACTCTAGTCATGCTTTAATACGATCATGCATTTGCTTGCACCTCACTGGACGCAGAAAAACCCATTAGTGTTGAACTCAGTGACGAGAAAGTCAAAAGCAGATCCTAGGAACGATTGACGTCACGCTTAGGTATTTCTGGAAACGAGGCTGACCCAGATGTCGCTTGGAAAGATATACAAAGAGCTGTGGGAACAGTAGAGATATCTATCAGTGATTTGAACCAAAGGGTTATGAAAAACCAATGGATTTCTACTAAGTCTATTGCACTGATGGATTCTCATAAACTCATCCCATCAGGCTCTGAACACGATGAAGAGCGTAAAAAATTCAGATCTAGGTTAAGCAAAAGTCTACGGAACGACCGTGAGCAGTGGTGGGGAACAAAAGGAAAAAAGATAGAAAAGGAGACGGCTATATGTAACGCAAGACAGTTCTAGAGATTAATAAAAAAGCTGGAATTAATAAGTCAAGTGTAAGTGAAACGACCTCGCAAAAAAGACGACAATATTATCTGCTCTCAGCCCAGACGTTTGGAACGATGGGCGGAACACACTAAGGAACAGTTCAGCTGGCCTTCAACTACTCTACAACTACCCATCATTTCCAAACAGCTTGAATGGAACGTTCAAGTAGGACCCCCGACTCCAATTGAAGTCCACAAAACTATAGCAATCTGAAAAAAGGAAGAGCAGCTGGCCCAGATGGATTAGCTCCAGAGATCTTTAAGGATTATGGTCCAGTCTTAGCGATTAGTTTGACTAGTATTTTAGCTCAAATATGGGAACCGGATGTAATCCATCTGACTGGTCATAATCATTTATTGTCCCAACTGTTAGGATGTTCAGAAATATATAACAATAATTATTATGTTAAGTCTAATAGTGTCCTTGGACTCTAAATGGACATTCCCTATTGGTCAGTATTTATTTCACTTGTTAAATATTGTACAAATGTTGTTTTCTATTTTATGGTACGTGGTCTGGTTGATTGGTATATAAAGTATGTTTGAAATATAACGATTCATATCTCAGAGGCTGAGACTTGTGTTCTGGACTCAACTGGCTGGGCTAGACAGCGAAGCAGGGTCAGTCGGGACTCTAGGTCGTTCTTACGTGTTTTACGTGTCATTGATTCGATCGATAAATACGCTGCGCATCTAAATCTGCGGTCCATAAGATACAACACCAACATATAAGAGGTCAAAATCATCACGTGATAACCATAAAGGGATTAGTTTGACTAATATAGCCTCAATGATTATTGGATGCCTAACAAAGACTCGTGAACTGCAAACACGGGAAAATCAGGCTGGTTTCAGACCTGTTTGTGGCTGCATCGACCGCATAATCACCTTTCATCAGGTCCTGAATCACAGGCATGCTTATCGGCGTCCGACAATGGTCTTTCTTGACCTAAAAGCAGCATTTGACTCTGTACACCGAGAGGTTCTGTGGCAGTCTGTCATTTAAAGGTATACCTCAGGAGTGCATAAACCTTGCGAATGCTCTTTACTTGAACACTACTAATCCGTCAAGGATTATGGCGAACTGTCCTCTGATTTTGCAACTTCAAGTATTGTGTGGCAAGGCTATCCGCTATCCCCATTTCTGTTTAATTTCATCATAGACCTACTGCTGGAAATAACGCTCTTGTCAACTGAATTTTCGGGCATAGACGTTCTATCAGGTTTACTTGTGGACTTAGAATACACAGATGGCAGTCCTGTTTGCTGAAAACCCTATCCTCAGTTCAGGTGTGGATGCAGGTAAGCCCTGAAGCAACGACTTGCATTCAGAGGGAGGAAATGCATGTAAAACATCCTGGCACTGTTGCTCAGTGCTGCCGAAAGACTGCATTTTATCAGGGTTCGATGAGGCTATAATTTATGGACGACATTTGAGCGGAGCCAACGTGACCTTCAGAATGTCCATCTACTACATACGACAAAATGATGGTTAGAAGGCAGTTGGATGTATAAAAATTATGATTTACAGTTGACGGTTGGGGGTAAGATTTAGGGTTTTCGTCACGAACTGAATTCAGCTAAAGTGCCGAAACCCTATTTGACTAAGTAAATGAATGACCGTGTCAAGACAGAAGAAATTTCACCTTTTATCTGATTGGTTTGTCCATAAATTATAATACTAAACTAACGCTAGACAACTTAGGGAGGCACCCAAGACAAAACGTTCAAAAGAGAAGAATAACAGAGATAGATGGTTGCATGCTATATGAAAAAAGGATTTAAAGGACACTCAAAATTGCAGTTACCTTTGACCGTCCTAGAAAAGCAACTTTGCGTGAATCCAGTAGCTTATTCACACGTCTCACGTTTTCAAGGAAGCGAAAGTATATTGCAGTTGGAGCAATTATGAAGACAGCGGTTGATCGAGACAACAAGACTTATCGCGCAGTCCAACAAGGTTACGCCAAGCTCGAACAGCGCGCGTCTGTAGACGTTCACAACCTTACGTTAGTAGCCTAAATAATCATAGATAGAAATGGAGGTACTTTTGTTTAATAATCTGTTCTTGGATAATAATTAGAATAATAGCTGATTTTCCACACGTCAAAACAATAGGTCTAGGGCATGTTTTCCACGGATGAACTGATGTTCAGAGAACTAATGGTTCAAGTGGTTCAAATGTTTGTGGACGGAATAGAAGAAATTTTCGATTCACAGGCTCCCGTGTCTAGTAGCAGGGGATCACCAAATCCTCCAGACAGGAACCTAGGTATGTTAACAATAAAAGAGGAAAAGAAATTAGTAAATCATAGTGTGTTACTATACTTAGTCCATAAGAATAGATCAAGTTGCCTCTTTAAGGACTCCAGGGAAGTCGCTTGAACTAGCTCGGCCAACAGCGAATTCCAGCATTTGACAACTATTAAGGAGTAGAAGTTGTGTCTGCAGTCCGTTCTGCTATGTTGTGTCTCCAGTTTTTGGGTGTTACCCATTTGATTAGTGTTGGAACTAAGCTTAAGTAGGTGTTCGAGACCATGTCCAGAAATTTTAAAGATACTAAAAGCCATCAGAAAGTCACCTCTAAGACTTCTATACTCTAACGGGTAAAGGTTAAATGAATGGAGTCGCTCTTCGTAAGGTTTAAATTTGAGTCCTCGAACTGATTTCATGGCTCGCCGTTGGATGCGCTCCAGAGTATCCTTATTCTTTTGGAGTGAGTCAGGAAATACTATGTTTCCGTACTCTAAATGCGGATTAATAAAACTATTGAAGATTATATGGAACGTTCTTCCGTCAAACTGTCCAGTAATGTGCTTCAATGTTACCAGTGCAAGGTTTGCTCGAAAGGCATTTTTGTCACAGTTAGCGTAAGACTTTAAATCATGGGGCACCAGGACTCCTAAATCTTTCTCAACTTGAGATGTTACTAGAGAGGAGTTTCCTAAGTTATAACTGTAGTCTGCGACATGTCTCAGATGGACTACTTTACCTTTTGAAGTGTTAAAGATAAGTCCGTTATCGTCTTCCCAACTTTGAAGTCGAGTCAAGTCCTCCTGAAGTGCCTGTATATCGTCTTTGTTGCGTATCTCTCTCCAAAGTTCCACGTCGTCGGCAAAAGGTAATGCGTTTGACGTTACCTGTTGGGGAAGATCATTTATGTAGATCAAGAAGAGAAGAGGTCCTTGTACTGAGCCCTGGGGGACCCCACTAGGACATCCCATAGCCTGAGATAAAGTGAAATTAACCCTAACCTTAAAGTGTCGATTTTCTAGGTATGAAGTAAGCCAATCGATTAGAGGTGGTTTGATACCTAGTCGTTTGAGCTTATTGATAAGACACAAGTGGTTAACTTTATCAAAAGCTTTTCAGAAATCTACGTTTATGATATCAACCCTCCTCTTGTGATCAAGTGTGCTTGTCCATCTGTCCACCGCAGTCAGCAAGTTGGCTATACAAGAGTAACCCTTCCTGAAACCATGCTGTTGCGGTGAGAATATATTTAAGGACAATAAATAGTCATTTATACCATCGCATATCAGGGACTATATGATTTTTGAAGGTATAGAGAGAAATCCACCGGTCGGTAACTTGAAGGTACGATGCGTTGACCACCTTTGAAAATTGTTGTGATGTGAGCCAGCTTCCAATTTTCCGGTAGTTTTCCTAGGCTTAGCGAGTGTGAGAACATCACACTGAGCGACGTTGCCAGGATAGAGACTGCTTCCCTCAGTATGGCGGAATGGACCATGTCCGGTCAAGGAGAAGTGTCGATTCTTCAGTGCTGCAGTTTCCGGAACACCAAGTCAGCGCTCAGGTTCACTTCGGAAAGTGCTTTGAAGTTGCAGTATAATTGATGTGGATCGGTTGAATTGTCCATAAGTATTGTTCAGCCAAAAGGTTGGCGGCATCGTCATCGTCGTTGGTCGGGGTGTTAAGACTTAGCAGTTGGGAAATTCCAGTTTTGGCTTGACGAAGAGAGGCTGCATAACGCAATAAGCTTTTCGGATTGTAAAAAACGAAGTTATCCATAAGCTTTATCTGGTACGGAAGCCTGTCTTCTCTTATAGCCTTCGTGCATATGTTCCTTATATGTTTGTATTGCCTGTACGCTCCGTTGTTGTCAGTTCGTTTGTACTCTGCACAACAGTGCCTTTTGTGGCTTAGCAGGCGAAGAGTGCGGTTCTTGATGATTGTGGGTTGCTGATAGCTATGGGGGACATTTTTGAGGAAGTGAATGATTTGTAGCACATATGAGCATGTGCAGTAAGACGTCCCAATGAGCATCCACATCGAGTTGGGGGTGAACATCCTAATCCACTTGTTGTTGATAGTCCTGTAGGATTGACAGATTCAACCGTTTGAAATTCCAACACAGGTTGTTGGTGGGATGTCTTAGCTCAGTTTTGCTGACGAAACTGAAAGTTATAGCGGCGTGATCGCTTTCCTCAGGGGAGCCAGGATTGAGAGGTTGTCAACTAGGAACTCTTCATTTGTAAATGCACAGTCTAAGCGCGACGGTATCTGATTGTTTCTTCAACGAGTTGCCGACTTTACATTTTCGTATAATCCCAAATCCTCAATGAGGTTGAAGAACCGAGCTTCAGTTGAGTTTTCACCTCCAATATACGCATGTTCCACGAAATTTACTCTAGGGAGATTGAAGTCGCCTAGGATCAGGATATGAGTGAAATCGAAACGCTTAGAGCGGGATAGTCCTTCCAGCATACTCGATGTCGACAGTGGGCTTCCTATAAATGACTCCGACTAGGCACCTCGAAGTAGTAGACAGTCTTACAAAACACCTTAAGGATTCCTCAAGGTTGTTAAACTCGAGGTTATGAACTTGATGTACCTCCAAGCAAGGTCGTATGTACATGGCTACTCCACCCTCAATTCCTGATTTTCTTTCGTTGCGAAACAAAGGCATCCCAGGTACTGCTAACTCCTGGTATGAGAACTGAGAAGATGTTCAAGTCTCAGTTATTCCTATCAGATGAGCCTTATGAATATTGCTAAGTTCACGTAGCTCATCCATTGTGTTTAGTAGACTCGCAGCGACCATGTATAAGCAGTTTATGCTTTCAATTTGAAACGCGTGAGCTTCTTCCTGTTTGTCTTTGTGAGCCTTATGTGAATGGACAGGTAGCCTACCTATATGATGTTCGCCGAGTTGGTAGGCCCTGTCATTTACACTTTTTTTATCGTCGAGCCAGTCCACAAGTGAAAAGGTCATCTCCAACTTGCCTTTGTGCTCGATCCTGGCGTCATGTTCCGGCTGAGATTGCGCTCAGAATACGGTATGTCAGGCAGTATTCTCACATTCCCATCGGGTTTCAGTAAATGACTAGCCAGTGGGACATCCTATACGTCAATCGCATTCTTAAGTGTTACACGAAGTAGCCTCGAGTGGATTTGATGTTTATATTCCTTCCCCGAGTGAGCCGTGTGACCGTCAAAGACCCTATTCTTGGAAGTCCAAGTTTCTTGTTCAATTCTCCCCAGAGCATCCTATCATTTTTGTCCTGTAAACTGAGAGGAAGGTCAGGGTTGTCTTTGAAGTTGATGACTATGAGAGAGTCATCACGAACCGTTATTGGTTTCCAGGATTTCCGGTGCATTCAGGTTTAGCACCTTGTTGTTTGGCGGTCGAAGCACGCTTATGAATCCTTGGCTCTTTGATGACCGGACGGACATTCGTGGGGGTAGACTGTGCGACCAGATCACCAGTTGACTGCCTTTCAACAGCTGAGATGTTCATCTTAGACCGTGACGCCTGGTCCTCTTTAGCCCTTTCAACATGGGTCCGATCACCTACAGGTATCTGTCGGAAATTCACATAATTATCATTTTATTCACGTGTTTATCCCATTTTTGATGACAGTACATAAGTGCTAGTGGCATTACAAAATTCTCTCACTGCAATAAGAATGTCAAGAAAATCTCACCGTATATAAATAAACCGTATTGAACTTGTAGCGGTAAAGAAATCACTAAAATAAATAGCTCTGTACGTCTTCAGAGTTTTACTACAACCTCATTAACTTTAACGGACAAATCTAGTTGAAGGCGCTTGGTCATGCATCTGCACCAGATTACAAGTGGATAGGTCGTGCTACACAGGTCCCACAACCGCTAGCGAACTTAGATCAAATGATTCTTGAGATGTCGATAGCCTTTCAGATATAAATTCTAACCTCTTCATTTTTGACTTCTGATTTGACTGGGTTGGCATACTTTGATTATAAAAGTATTACGTGTAAAAGCGTTGTCAAACTTACAATGCTTGAAGCACCTTTAAACTCCAAAACTAATAGGAACAATAGTGGGAATTCTTTCCCTCCGCATTTGTACCTCTGTTCCATCAGTGAGACTTTCAATGTAAATGCAATCAGAAATCTACACATAAGGACAACATACCATAATAAACATTAACTGACATTCTAACGTACACGAAATATAATACCAATATCATCATTTATAAAATATTGATTGTTCCTCTATTTTTAGACAAAAAGTGCTTCTGATTCTCACGTGTTGAGCTATTAAACAACCACTTTTACTATGCTTCTTCATTATGATAATCTTAGTTTGTTTAACGCTTAACTAGCCTTAACATAGACGTTGCTTTTGAGCGTGTTATTGTTAATATCTAAGATGCTCTCATCATTCGTTTGATTACTGTTGTCACGCGACTATCTTATTCGATTTGGTATTGAACCAACATCACGTTGATTCTGGCTGGAGAGCATTGTAGTGGTATTGGTCCTAACCACATAATCCTCATAGCTGAACATGAGATAACTAAGGAACTCCATATTAAATAATTAACACGAAGAGAAGGTCAGCAATATGGAATGTCGGTGCAATTAATTTAACCGGTTCAGACGTCATGGCTCAGCCTTTCAAGCGTGAACATTCACGTGCAACTTATATCCTCTATTCATATTAAATATATATTGTTCTATCTCCAGCTTTAGCGTGTTCTTTAGAAAAGCTCTATATTATATTGCTGATTGTTACGAAACTACAAGTCAGAATATACAGTAATATAACTTTCACAAAAGATTTTATAGATTAGGTTTTCACATCGTTACAAATCTACAATTTTAG